GACACACAGGGAAAAATGATGTAATACAACAGGCTTCTTCATGGCAAAGCTATTCCCTGGATGTCTGAGGTAATTGGAAAATTCAAGGCTGGTTCCTAAGGTGCATATAATTTATAGAGCAGGTTTGAGAGAAGGCTGCGATTTTTTTTCCAAGTGGGATTTGGTGACATGACAAATATTGGAGTTTGGGGGAAGGGCAGTGTGGCTTGTAGAAACAGATACAAGGAGATCCAAACTAAAACGTGTACCAAACGATACCTTTATTCAACAAAATGATTAAGCCTCTTCTGTGTGCCAGGAACTGTCCTACATGGGGACAATATAATCGATAATGTCAAGTCCCTGTCTTCACAGAGCCGAGTGTCATATGAGAGAACAGACATTAAACAAGTAGAGTATGTGTGTGAGGTGGTGAGGAAGCCGAATAAGGGTGATACAGAGTCCTGGGGTGGGGAGATGCTATCTTATCCAAGGTAGCTAGAGACTGCTCCGATGCGATGTTTGACACAGGAGCAGAAACCTGAGGAGAAAGAGAGTGAATCATTAAGTGTCTGTGAGAAGAGCACTCCAGATGGAGGGGCAGTGATTGTAAAGGCTGCTAGACAGACTACTTGGAGAGTTTGAGGAGCCCGGGGCAGCTGGGTCTGGCTGGAATAGAGTGACGGAAGGATGGGGGTAGGAAATGAGACAAGAGCAGGGAGCTGGGGTGCAGGCTCTTAGAGGCCGCTGCAAACGCTGGCTTTGTTCTGAGTAAGATGGGAGGCCATTGGCGGGTGTTGAGCAGAAGAGTGACATAATCCGAGGTATTTCAGAAGGACCCTTCTGACTCCTGAGGGGAGAACAGGCCCCAGGAGGGGGTGGGGGTTGAAAGCAGGGAAATGAGTAGGGGAGGAAGGCAGGGGAGGAATCTTGGTGTCTTACACCAGGACAGTAGCAGTGCTCCGGGGGTGTATTTTGAAGGGACAGCCAAAAGGACTCGCCCATGGATTGGATATGGTGCTCGAGAGGGGAGTCAAGCATGTTTGCAGGGCCATGGGCTCTACCGCCTGTAAGAATGGATTGGGGCTTTGCTTTTAAAGAGGCAGAACAGACTGCAGGAGAAGCAGGTTGGCAGTGTAGGCAGGTGGGAAGTGAGAACCGGAAACTAGGGGTTCTGCTGTGGACATCTGGAATTTGAGGTGCCTGTGATACATCCAAGTAGAGGGGGTGAGCCACTGGATATAATCCTTTGGAATTTGGAGGAGATAAACGTAGGAGTTACCAGTGTCTAAATGGTATTTAGCAGGTCAGCAGGGGATGAGATAGCCAAGGGAGGGGGAAGAAATGGAAATGCAAGAATGGATCCTTTGGGCTGTCCAATGTGTAGGGCTTGGGGAGACGAGGAGGAACTAGCAAAGATGAAAAGTCAGGGAAGGTCAGTGAGATGGACGATTAAGGAGAACGATGCCACGGGAACCAAGGGAAGAGAACGTTTCAAGGAGGGAAAAGTGATCAGCTGTGTTAAATGCTGTTGATGGAAACATTGGGAACTGATCATTGGATTCCATAATGTGGACATTACTGGAGACCTTGATAAGTGTTTTCAGTGGAGTGGTGAGGAAGAAGGGCTGACTGGGTGAGATCTGAGAGAGGGTGCAAGGACAAGCAGGGATAGCAAACAACAATTATTTTCGAGGTTTTTAAAAAGGGAAGCAGAGGGGCGCCTGGGTGGCGCAGTCGGTTAAGCGTCCGACTTCAGCCAGGTCACGATCTCGCGGTCCGTGAGTTCGAGCCCCGCGTCGGGCTCTGGGCCGATGGCTCGGAGCCTGGAGCCTGTTTCCGATTCTGTGTCTCCCTCTCTTTCTGCCCCTCCCCCATTCATGCTCTGTCTCTCTCTGTCCCAAAAATAAATAAACGTTGAAAAAAAAAAATTAAAAAGGGAAGCAGAAAAATGGAGCGGTTGTCAGGGTAATGAAAGATTTGATGGACTGAATTTTGTCCCCCCCCCCCCCCCCCCCCCCCCCCCCCCCCCGCCATTCATAGGTTGAAGCCCTAATCCCCAGTGTGACAGTATTTGGGGACAGGGCCTTTAAGGAAATAACTGAGGTCAAATGGGGGGAGAAGTACAGGCCCTAATTCAGTAGGACCGGTGTCCTTATAAGAAGAGAAGGAGACATGAGGGATGTACGTATCTGCATGGAGGCAAGGCAGCAGTCATCTGCAAGCCAGGGAGAAGGGCCTCCATCTTGGACTTCCGGCCTCCATCTTGGACTTCCAGCCTCCAGAAATGGGAGAAAGAAATTTCTGTTGTTTGAGCCCCACAGTCTGCGGGTTTTGGTCATGGCAGCCGCAACAGACTAATACAAAAATCAAGGGAAACCTGTTGTTTGGAGAGTGGGGCGGGGGAATACTGTAGCATGTTTATTTTCTGAAACGAGCAGTGAGCAGAGTGGGGAGTTCTGGGAGCAAGGTTCCTGGGTTGGAGAGATGGAGTGGGGTCTAGTGCAGACCCCACGTGTATAGAGGTTTGCTTTTGACACAAATACCAGCAGATGCGTAGATGTGGTGGGAAGGTAGGGGATTCTCTTCTGAATCCTTTGGTTTTCTTGGTGAAATAGGAGGCCGGGTCATGAGTGGGGAGAGGAAGTTGGGTGGAAAGGGGAGTTTGAGAAGAAAGTAAGAAATAATTTCACCTTTTCAGGGTGGGGGAGCGAACAGACTAGAGAGATGTCGTCAGGCAACTGGGCGATGCTAAGGGCCCACTGAAATTAGTGGTCGTGGATTTAAAGTGAGGCTAGTCCTCGTGTTCTTGTGTTTTTCTCCAAGATCATTTCTGCAGGGTTGGGTGGAGAGTCGGATCCAAGCGGGGGCTTTGTCACGAATGACAGGGAGACCCACAGGCAGGAGAGGTTGTAATGATGGTCTGGAGAATCTAAGCGGAGAGAGGATGAAGGAAGGCACATGGGGGCAGGAGGGGAACGGTGGGAAGCACGTGGAGGCACTGCGTTGTGGGTTCCCGAGCAGAGTCAGATTATTACAGCGGGTGAGCCAGAGAGATGGGAGCTTGTGGTCGTAGGAGGCTGGAAATTCAAACTCTGCAGATGGTGCAGTTGGAATCCAGCCAGGTCCGGGGGGTGACCGACTGGCTGAGGTAGGGGGAACAAGAACAGAGAACGGGTCATGGAATTAAGAAGGCTGTGTGGATACTGAATTACTCTGGTTCTGCAGCGGCAGCAAGCTAGGTGCTAAAATCTTCAAGGAACGAGGAGGGATGTGGGGCTGTGTAGATGCTGAACCACGGAGGGGCAGTCATATATAGAAAGGCATCAGCTTCAAGGCAGGCCACTTTTAAAAAAAAAGAGCGGTAATGGCCAGGAACAGGGCTTCTCAACAGCGGCCCATTAGCAGTTTGGACTGGATATTTCCTTGTTGCAGAAAGCTGTCCTAAACTGAGCAGTTCCTGACTTCTACCCAATAGATGCTAGGAGCGAGCACCAGCCCCCGTTGTAGCAAGGACAAATGTCCCCAAGGTCACGCCTGGCTGAGAAGCACTGATCGGAAAGCAGCAATGATGAGCTAACAGGGCACCTACCTGAGCTCTGGTTGGAGCAGTTGGAAGGAGTGAGGAAAAGCAAGTAGCTAACACTTCATGAGGGTCATGGGGCCATCAGTGTCTTCTGGGAAGGTCAGATGTGGGTTAGAGAGCATGGATGGGAATCTTCCCAGAAAAGGATGAGAATATAGTGAACACCTTTGGATTTACGACTCCGACGTAGCTCCTATCTGTGAGCCCTAAGGAGGAAATGAACGTGTTCCATGACGACCTGACAGTCGTGTGTTTCATCTGCTAACTTCACTTCCTTTGCCTGACCCAATTCACTGCTCAAATGAGTCACCTACTTCTTAATGGATCTTGCGGTGCCGATTTCAGTAATTACACTTAATACATGCTGAGTTTTTGCCACATAAGAAATCAAGAGTCCAGAAGGAAACACCAAATATATACAGTGAAGCCCTGGGCAGGGATGAGGCACCGGCACTGTGTGCTTCCTCTTCCAAGAATTCTCTGACAGCTAAGCAGGTGCACTGTAGGACTCAAAGCTTCTAGTTAACTCCCTAGCTTTTCGGACAAAAGTGAAGACTCCTCTCTAAATGACACGGGGCTGAGGGATATGAGCAGGATGAACGTATCAAGTTTGCCTGACGTGAGTAGAACTGCAATAAATTTATGAGGTGGTATTTCAACACTGTTCCTTTATTTTCCTACTACTTGTATGGCCTTGACCAAAGAGTAATCCAGGCTTACGAGTACGAGATGAGCGTGGTGTACGGGTCAAGCCGGGACCTCCACCTGAACAGCAAGACCACATTATAATCCATGTAGAGTGCGCTAGCAAAAAGTGGATATGATGAAAGGCTTTCATTCCTTGATGAAAATAGCAAAAATGTGGCTCAGGGAGAAGTAAAAGAGTTACGCATTCAAAAGTAAGGAACTAGGGGCGCCTGGGTGGCTCAGTTGGTTAAGCGTCCGACTTCGGCTCAGGTCATGGTATCGTGGTTCGTGGGTTCGAGCCCTGCCTCGGGATCTGTGTGGACAGCTCAGAGCCTGGAGCCTGCTTCAGATTCTGTGTCTCCCTCTCTCTCTCTCTGCCCCTCTCCCACTCACACCTTGTCTCTCTCTCTCAAAAATAAACAAACATTAAAAACAAAAACAAAAAAAGTAAGGAACTAAACATCCCCATGATATAAGTTCCAACTGCACAGATCCCTTGGTTCCCGTACAAAAGAGCGAACACTGCCAATCACCACGAAGAGAAATGTGCTGGTCCCTTGTGCTCAGCCATCCACACATATGATCAGTGAGGAACTGACAAAAAAGGACTTGGAACTCGAGAGTATAAGACAAGGCACTTTGTTTTTAATTCTATCAGATTCTTCAGAATTAATGTCTGGGGTCCTCTGGTCATCTGAAGTTGCGCTGGGCACCGCTCGGACAAGCTGACCGCATAGCCAGGAAAGCATCAGAGGGCTACGGTCCTGAGTAGACTCCTTGGTGCACTCTCCCCACCTGTCCATGTGCATTCCGACTTCTCAGCAAACTTCCCGCAGCATGACCAGTGCGGGCGGCCTGGGTGACCTTTATGTCCGTGGCCACAGCCCAGGTACCCACCTGCATGGTGGTTCAGAGAGGAGACAGAAGACAGCCATTAGAGTGAAGTCCAGAAGTTCACCAGGGAAACTAAAGCTTCTGGCAACGTTTAGACTCATGGATGTGAAAACGTTTAGTAAGAACCCGGTGAGGAGAACAAACTGTCACCTCCATAGCAGGAGGACTCCCAAGGGCTGAAGACAGTCAAGACTGTCAGTTAGCTAAGAAGAGTGTTGTTTTGGGGCGCCTGGTGGCGCAGTCGGTTAAGCGTCCGACTTCGGCCAGGTCACGATCTCGCGGTCTGTGAGTTCGAGCCCCGCGTCAGGCTCTGGGCTGATGGCTCGGAGCCTGGAGCCTGTTTCCGATTCTGTGTCTCCCTCTCTCTCTGCCCCTCCCCCGTTCATGCTCTGTCTCTCTCTGTCCCAAAAATAAATAAACGTTGAAAAAAAATTTTTTTTTAAAAAAAAGAAGAGTGTTGTTTTAACGTTCTGCTAACTCAAGGAGATGAGCTGGTTTGGATTTTCACTGAAAAAGAATTGAAATAAGAGAGAGGGGAAGAGTGGCAGAAGTAAAAAAGAACGTAGTTCCTGTAGTGTTTATGCAAAACGGTGCCTGAGCCCATCTTAAGGCCCACCATCAGAGCACAAACACAGTAGAATACTTTAAAAGAAATAATTAGATCTCTTGCCTGAGCTGATGCCCCTAGCCCCAAAGAAAGAGCCAGACCTTCTCCCCATCCCTGCCTTGCTTGGAATTTCTTTAAGGTTTTAAAAGGAACAGAGTAGACTTATAGTTTTTAAGTGCCAGGCTGAGGGAAAGGGTACAGATGGAAATCAAAAGTCCTGGGGAGGAGCACAGGGCTCATAAGATTGGCGAACTGTATCAAAACTAAAAGAACTCCGAACTTTTCAGCTTACGATTTCACTTTTCAGAATAAAGAAGCGTTAAGTGAAACTTCTAGAACTGTGGTATATTTACAGGCACAGATTATATTCCCAGCAAGAAAGCCTATGTCTGAACATCCTAAACCTAGTGGCTGTGCAGTAGGTGACCCCCACTGCTGGGAGACAGGCCCACAGGGGCAGGACTTGGAGAGCGAGCCTCCTTACCTGGCATGGTGCCTCCACAGGCACAGCGAGCGGTTTTCTGGCCTCCGCTGGAGCAGAACGTGCAGCAGTGAAACACGCCTGTGTGTGAGCGATGCCTTTTCCTCACGGTCACAGTGAATGGTGAGCCCTTCAGTGTTTAGACCAAGAGCAGAGAACAGCACCTTATGAGTCAACAGGGGTGTGCTGAGCGTCACATGTGCTAAATGCGGTGTAAGTCCCAGGGCCTGGCCGTGGAGGACAGGGACCACAGCAGGGAAACAGACTAGGGACGGTAACTAGCTGGGTGCTCGGCTGGATGGCGCCAGGTACAGATGCCGTGAGAGTCGAGGAATGTGTGTGGCCCTTCTGGCACGTGGCCCACCTGATACACGAGTAAACCCAATCTGTGTTCCTGCGTCACGGATGTCACGGTCTTCTCCGTCCCGGAGGGGTGTTGGTGTGCTGCAACCCCGAGGCTGGGCCGTCACTCCCTTCCTTCCACCCGTCCCCCCTGGACATATCCATTTACCCATCCACTTAGTCTAGGTCTATGAGGATACAGGCAAGGGAGAGAGGTGAATAATTCTCAAATTAGAAACTCTCCTACCTGCCTGCCCCTTTCCTTCAAGGACAACTTCCACTCTCCAGTTTCTATCCTATGTTAGACCACAAATATTTAATAAGTGTTGCTTACGTGCCTGTCCCTGAGTGGGAACCGTGCTGTCTGCAAAAGCACCAAGCAGAGGAGTGTGGCACCTTAGAAGCCTTTCAAATGTTCCATCTCTCTTCCCTTGAAGAGTATATGATCTATTTTAATCTTTATTTGTTTTTGAAAGAGAGACAGAGTGGGGAGGGGGAGAGGGGCAGAAAGAGAGGGAGACACAGAATCCGAAGCAGGCTCCAGGCTCCAAGCTGTCAGCACCAAGCCCAACACAGGGCTCGAACTCACAGACCATAAGATCATGACCTGAGACGAAGTCAGTTGCTTAACCGACAGAGCCACCCAGGCGCCCCTAGTTTATGATCTGTTTTTTTTTTTAAACATTTATTTATTTTTGAGACAAAGAGAGAGAGAGCATGAACGGGGGAGGGTCAGAGAGAGAGGGGGAAACACAGAATCTGAAATAGTCTCCAGGCTCTGAGCTGTCAGCACAGAGCCCGACGTGGGGCTCGAACTCACGGACCACGAGATCATGACCTGAGCTGAAGCTGGCCGCTTAACCAACTGAGCCACCCAGGTGCCCCTATGATCTGTTTTAAAAACAAAGCAGAGTTCAAAGAAATGGGTTCAAATTCTGATCCTGCTATACAGGGACTGTGTATTTCAGCAAGTTTGTTTCTCAGTCAGAGTGGACAATGATCGCTATGCCTGAACAGTTTGGAAAAAAGGTGTGAGAATGTCTGCAAAGGGACCTGGCCCACCCCAGTGTGCCGTAATCAGACAGGCAGGAAGTGGCTGCTGAATAGGAGTCTTCCTGGTGCACACGCCACAGGCCCAACATATCACGACACTATGGTATTTTATTGTCCCTGTCAGTATTGCTTTCTGGTCGGGGAACACCTGTGACTACTTGAGATTCTGTTGGACATGCTGAGTATTGCCCAATTTTTAAAAATTTGTAATCTCTAAACCAGAAGGTGTTACCCTTGCTGCGGAGGTCGTGTGGTAACCCTGGTAATGGCTAAGCACGTATGTGAAGAGTGACGCGGGCAGATGGCCAGGCAGAGAGAAGACTGGTCAGTTGAGGGGAGAGGGCCTAACTCTCCCAAACTGCGTTACAGTAAGTTCCAGTACGTCCGGTCACAGTCCGAAGAAAGCTGGAAAATGCCGAGCTAGATTATATTGCTTGAATGTGTATACTTGTTCCCAGGCAGACTGCCCACTGTGACTGAGGTATCTTTCCCAAATCAAGAAGTCTCCAACTGGGAGAATGATGAAAGGCAAGCCTAACTGCCAGGAGGTACAGTAGGGATAGAGTTCTTCTGGTCGCCAGCATCCTTTAGTAAGGCTAAAAGTAGCAAAGTCTGGGTCATTTCTAATGTGAACAGAGTAAAAAAGAGAATTCTATTCGGCCCCTCCATACAGCTGATGCTATGAGACATGTCCCCGCATTCTGAGATGGTAGAAGCCAGAGGAGCCAAGGGGAAAGGAGCCCAGGGAGGCACACACGTGGGTCCCACTCACTTACCTGCACATGCTGCTCTTTGACGCGGACCAACACGGTATAGACGCCAGGCTCCTTGGGAGTATAGGAGACATAGTACGTCCCGTCCTTGTTATCTTGTACCAGCGTTCTGACCGGACTGAATGCACATGGAGTTCAATAACCACTCACTCTCACAAGCCCGCCGCAACTGCCCGCTACTGTAGGGTGTAAACTCTACCCCATTCAACCCGATATTCATTTGAAATATCCCCCAGCAGGACACTTCTTCCACTGGTCTCAGAAATTAATTTTACAGCAGAAGGGAAGCGGCATAAATGCTGATCCAACCTGATGTACAGATGAGTTCCTTGAAAGCGTTACTGTGTTCTTTGAGGGGTTCCTGTTGTACCCTCCCGCTCTCTCTCCTCTCTCCTGATTCCAGAGACATAAAAACACACTCCCAGCACAATGTAGTAGCAAAGTGGGGCTGAATTTCGAGAAGGGGGCCATTCAGTCCAACACAGAATATTTTTCAGACAATCTGAGGGGCAGAGCACTGAGTACTGGCATAAAACCCACACAAGAAAACACATCTGCTCCAACAGGTCCTATCACATTTTTTAACAGCGTCAGGGGAGTGGGATCTAACCATGCAGTTTTATCACTACTGGGAAGGGCCTCAAGTTTCCGGTTTCATCACCCCCTATGACCCCTGACACCTGACTGTGTGATACAAACCTGTCTTTCTTATCTTTGGGGACTACAGCGACGTGCACGCTGTCTCCTCCCCTGCCCATGCTCTCTCCTGCTGCATCCTTACAAAGCAGGGTGAAAGAGGCTGTCTGTTTCTCCCGGGCTCTGTGAAGATCTGCAGAAGATAAACACTCAGTCCTCGTCTCAAAGGCCAACCATTGGTGACTGCATCCCCAGATCAGACACCATCTTGCTTTTTCTCTTTAGAACAAACAGTTGTGCTTCCCGTTTACTGTGATGGCCCTGCTTCCTTTTTCTTCTCTTCTGGCTCTTTCCCCTAGAGCATACCTCTTGGCACTCCCTCTTGGCGAGCCTGGTTGTCTCTCAGCCAGTAGCTGCTCTTGGATCACGCAGGATCCTGAACCTGAACCTCAGCCCTAAGGGAGCTAATCCTAAGGACAGACCTACGTATTCAGAGAAGAGAAGCTCTAGACCCTGTGAGAGAAGGTAGTAGCCCCCAAACCGCTCTCTCTGAGCTGTGGATCATGCTGGAACAGGCAGGGGGGTCGGTTAATCAGCTTCGAATCTTTGGCACTCCCGCCAGCGTGTTGCGGGGAATATTCAGTAGCTACAGACTCTGGTCCAGCAGGTGCAACACGGCTTCTTAACCTGCGGTTCATGAGCTACCATGTGGTCTTTGGAGAGGCTTATGAAGGGTCTAAGAATCTCCTGAAATGGTGTGCCCAAAGTAATAGCTGTTCCTTGGGGAGAGATCATTCTCAAAGGGATCTGTGACCTCCAAACAGTTAAGAATTCCCGCGCCAGGGGGCGCCTGGGTGGCGCAGTCGGTTAAGCGTCCGACTTCAGCCAGGTCACGATCTCGCGGTCCGTGAGTTCGAGCCCCGCGTCGGGCTCTGGGCGGATGGCTCAGAGCCTGGAGCCTGTTTCCGATTCTGTGTCTCCCTCTCTCTCTGCCCCTCCCCCGTTCATGCTCTGTCTCTCTCTGTCCCAAAAATAAATAAACGTTGAAAAAAAAAAATTAAAAAAAAAAAGAATTCCCGCGCCAGAGTCAGCCTGCCCCTACGGTACCGTCTTGCTGTCAGGACCGATCTCTAAACTATATGTTTGAATGACATGCCTCCTTTAGGGACAGAATGGTCAAAAGAAATCGTTTCTCCCCCTACTGAATGGAATGCTTATCATAATCTTTTCAATGCTGAGATGTGACTTACATGAACCACAAAGGGCATAGAAGAAAGTACATTATAACCCTGTCTTCCTCACTCCTCCGAAACTCTCTTCAGAACCAGATCCAAGTACTCTGGGGCCTGCCAGTCTCCTCTCCGAGCAGGCAGGATTTCGCCCTGGCCTATCCTGTCGTCTTCTACGGGCACGGGCTCCTCTGTCATCTGATAGAAATAGCACGCTCCTTGAGGTCCTTGCTAGTTACTACTTTGCTCAACTGGAAAAGGGTCAAGCCTCACCCCTGTATGGGCTATGCACCATACCCTGACCAGAAGGAAACAGAATGAAACGGCAAGGGAGGGGTCGCTGTCCTTTGGACCGGTATGGCTCTCTCCCTTGGTAAACCAGTCAGGAGGAAGCTCTTCCTAGCTGGATGAAGGCCCCGGCTGAAAAAGCCGTACCTCTTTCAACACCATGTCCCCATCCATTGCCCTCTCAAATGCCTTCCTACCTTCTCCTTGAAGGACACATTTAGCTGGATCGACCTCTTTCGTATTGATGGTCCCATAAACTTCATAGCCACGGCATCGGCCTGCTCTCTGCTGAGGAGAGAAGCGTATCTTATCGTTTACTCCAGGATGGGCACTATATTCGACTTTGTTCAGCTTCGTGAGCCGTTCCACTACCACCCCCTTGGTGATGAGGATCTCCAAGTCCGAGCCACTGGTCAGCAGGTGCTCAGTGAACTCCACGCCCGTCCGCATGTCCGCCAGCAGCTGCTCAAGCTGTGCCTTCTGCAGCTGCAGGGAGTTTTCCTTCTGGACCCGGATGTCTTCCAGCTGCTTCAGCAGCCTGTCCCGGTGCTCCTCTATGGCCTTGACGTAACCCTCGGAGAACGTTCGCACATCAGCCGCCACAGCCTCCACTCGCTTCTGGAGGGCACTGTTCATCTCTGTGATCTGTGCCAGGGCTTCCTCCAGGGCCTCCACGTGGGGCTGGGTGCCTCTGAGAAGCTCCCGCACGGAGTCCCCGTGCTTGTGGATAACGTTGCTGGCGAAGTCGTAGGGGTGCTCCCGGTGCTCGCCCACCACGCAGTCCCGGCACACGGGCCGGTCACAGAGCTCACAGAACAGTCTCAGCTCCTCTGCAGGGTGCACGGGACACAGAATGGGCTTCCCGATCCTGCTGTAGCCTTTCAAGTCTTTTAGGTCCACCACTGTGTGGTAAGTTGTTTTCTTCTGCCGCCTAGGGGCAAACAGAGCCAGGATCGGGACATTAGGGGACAATTCAGTTGGGAAACGGGCAGTTTCAAAAGCATGGGCGCTGAAGTCAAAGAAACCTGAGTTCGGTCCCTTGCTCTAACCTCTTACTAACCACAGGGTCCTCTCTGATTCCAGTTCCTCATCTGTCCCAGGGGGGATAGTACCTACTTGAAAGGGCTACTATATTGAATAAAGCGATAGTGGACTAGGGCTCTCTGGCCTGGAACGGGACTCTGCCAAAGGTTGCGACACTAAGGCTATGTCCTGGAACTTTCTCCGAAGAGTGAATTTGGCAAGTTTCAATAACAGCCATGGCCTGCTCCTTCAGCAAGCTAGAGGTGAGAGCATGGTGGTAACCCAGCACCAGGAGACAGAAACTATGCAAGAGGACACAGCAGCACACCCTAGGCAATTAAAAAGTGTCTGGCTGGCCGTGACATTAAGTCTCCCTAAGATTTCGGTAAAGCATTTCCATGACCAGCACCTCCATCACCCCAAAGCAGCAAGCTAGAATTTTCCTCGAGTCATCAAAATTATTAGAAAGAGTGAAATCAACGGTCAGTAGGATCACAGTTCTCTTAATTCCTCTTTTCTGTAGCCTTCTGGAGTTTCAAGGAAATCTCTAGAAAACCTGATGACTGTTGAGCAATCCCCCCAGTTAGCATTATATCAACTTGGAGCTCACATGCCTATTCTGGCACCAGAAACGTGGCTGTAGAGAAAACAAGATCAGCTGTTTGATTGGCAGCAAGGCAGTCATAATTACCAGTTAAAAATAGACTGAAGACTACTAACTTGTTCTGTGGGTGAGACCAGAAAACAAATGGAAGGCAGAATTTAGAAACTATTTTAAGCTAATCCTAAAATCATGGCTATTTTCTATTCTGATGCCCTGGAATGGGGGAGAAGGTGGACAAGGGACAAAGGGTGATCCATGTGGCAAACTTCACCAAATGCCACGAAAGACCTAAATCTGCACCCCAACAAGCACCTACCGGCCCACCTCACCAAGCTCGAGTGACTCTAGGTAGTACAAGGCAAAGGCTGAGGTGGGGCGCCACCAAATAGCACCTTATGCTGTTTGGAGGGCAGCGTGGATTAGCAGAAAGAGCACAGAATGCAGCAGAAGCCCTAGATGTAAAATTCGGTTCTGTTACGCACTCCTTCCCAGCTGGCGGACCTTGGCAAATCACAGTGTTGAGCTTCAGTTTCCTCAAATAATAAATGGGAGTGAAAACAGTGCCTGCTTTTCTATAAGAGCGGCAAGGCATCAAATGAGATCAAAGCCAGGGGCTATGCTCTTATATTCTTCTGTTTAGCCAGCACCCACTACCATTATCCTTTATACAAAAAGCGATTAATGACCCAAGGAAACTGTGAACGTGCTTCCCAAACCGCAAAAGGACTATGCAAACCTTTGATTCCACTATTACTACAGGTATCATGTAAGGGTGCAGGAGTTAACTACCATTCTAGAGTATTTATCACAGCATATATTGCTGTTTGACCTTACATGGCACTTGAGAGCGCTTTCCTTCCCATCTGTTCACAAGGGATTTCTGGCTTGACACCACTTTTTTTTTTTTTTTTTTTTTTTTTTTTTTTTTTTTTTTTTTATTCTCTTAAGCTACACCAGGTGGGGTATCCCATCTTTACCTATGAGCCTGGCAGCAGAAGTGGCAGAGGTTGGCTCTGCAGGTCTGGCATCTCTTCTCCACTTCCCTGTCGCTGCACAGGTCACACACCAGGCCCTGGCCTTCCCCACGAAGACTCTCCAGCATCACGTCATTCATGGCCAGGTGGTCTATGGTTAAAGCCTTCACTCCACCCATGGGCAGGTCCACCTGAGTGTCACATACCGGACAGAGGATGCCGATCTGGGGCTGCAGACTGGGTGGCTTGAGTTCCTGGAATATTGACCCCTCAGAGCTTGTGTCAGAGTCGCCCCCTCGGATGTCCACTACCGAGTAGGGTTCCAGCTGCTCCAGACACGTGGTGCAAACTGTGTGCAAACAAGGCAAGAGCCTGGGGGCTTTGAAAAGCCCCATGCACAAAGGGCAGTGAGTCTTGCCTGAGTTCCCAAGTGCAGTCCCACTGGGGAGTTTGCCCACCAAGCCCATCAGCGGCTTCCTGTTTTCTGACATATTCCCCACGTTTGTGCCCAGTATCAGGAAAGGCTCTGGGTAGTTCTATAATAAAGTAGTAGGTGATTAAGCCCACCCAAAGATAAAGTTTCCAGAATTTGAGCAGAGACCATGGGGACTCTCTCTTCGGCAAAGCGAAGGGCAAAATGATAGAAGAGTCAAAGGAACCACCCACGGATCTATTTAGGAGGGCCCCCTCCTTTGCATGGCATCCCATACCAGACGCACCCACGCCCTCCTCTGCCCCCCCAAGTCCTCCGCCCCGGAAGCACTTCCAGGTCTAAATCCTGAGCTGGTCCTGATGCCAACTCCTGGACCCCTGCACCTCTCCCTTCCTCCACTACCCGCCCCCCTCCCGCGTCCCGGCCCCCCCTCCGGCCCCAAGGGTCCTGCGCCGGACACGCGACAAGCGCCTCCCCCGCCCCCGCGTGATGAGGTGGGGAGGGGGGCTCCCGCTCCTTCCCTCGACCCGGCCCTTCGCGGACCGCAGACGGCGGGAAAAGGAGCTGCGAGTCCGGCCGGCTTCTCGGCGGCCGCCGCCTCCCCGACACCTCGGCTCAAGGTGCCCGATGGCTCTGGCCCCTCCTCGCACCAATCCCAGCCCGGTCTACTCAGGCGAGTCCAATCACCGTCCGAGAGGGGCGGCCTTCGCCGCTGGGGGTCCCGCCTCCCCCCAGAGTGACACCACCAGCATCCAATAAGATTTGGAAATTCCACATCTTCGCCGGGCCACTCCGACGGGTAGAGGAGGGATCTAGCTAAGTGCCGGCGTCCGGCGGCAGGAGGGCTAGGGCGGAGGGGAGGAAAAGAGCGAGGCTGGGAGTGAGCGGCATAGTATAAGCAGCGTCACCCTTTTACGGGGACGATCCCTCTATCGCTGTGGCGACCAGAGAGGCCAGAGGACCACTTAAAAAGCCCCGCTGGTCTGCCCGGGGACGGCCTCCTTTGCGCCCTCGGATTGGGCCCACGGACCCAGACCGGGCCCTTCCATTGGCGGTGGTGCTGTCAGTTGCTCAGCGCACAGCTTGCTGGGAGCTGTAGGACGAGGGGTCCTCGTCCCAGAGGCTTCGGACGCTATGAAGGACGTTTCTGCTCGGCCGGCCTGAGCCCACGAGTTCCCTCCTGGGCCTCCTCAGCTTATTTTAGTCCAGGAATCCCCCAGGCCCAGCATTGCAGGTTACAAGAGCTTCGTTTCCCGGGGCTCAGGCCCCGAGGTTCTGGGGACCCGTCTGGGAGACCGTTGAACCGAGGGCTGGCTTCGTGGTTCCCCTGGGGTGGGTCTTTGTGTGACCCTTCGGGGCCAGGGGCGCGGAAGGCCAGAGGGGTTAGGTATTTGTCACCCAGAAGCCTACAGTTTCGTACACCAGAAACGGAGCAAGTTTGTCCGGCTGTTTTGATCAGTCAGTCCAAGGGGGGCCGTGACTGGTCACAATGGGAGAGTGGCTCCTGGCCAAGAGGGAGGGAACCCTTTGTGGGCTCACAAAATAATTGGGAAGATGAACGCGACAGGCAGCCTTGGCAATTTCTTTGTCTCCTTCTTCAAGTATCCTCACCAGGAGTCTCCTTATTCGGCCCTCTGGGGGCTTTGCCACACCCGAGATCTGGGACCTGTATCTCCACAATTTCCAGAAATGGTAACCCTCTAGCTCCTTCCCCTCCACTGTTCTATTTCCAGTCCCTTAAGCTTGTCCAGTATGCCTGGTTCTCTCACTGCTGGTTTTGTTCCTGACCTTCCCTAGTTGATTTGGACCCGATGGGCAGCTGTTGTATTGAGTTCATGCTAGAGGCACACTTAGCCTGGAGCCTAAGCTTACAAAAATACGGAATCTGAAACCCAAGACAAAATAACACTTGACTTTAGAGTATGAAAACTATAAACGTTTTTAAAAATGGAAATGTTTGGGGCGCCTGGGTGGCGCAGTCGGTTAAGCGTCCGACTTCAGCCAGGTCACGATCTCGCGGTCCGTGAGTTCGAGCCCCGCGTCGGGCTCTGGGCGGATGGCTCAGAGCCTGGAGCCTGTTTCCGATTCTGTGTCTCCCTCTCTCTCTGCCCCTCCCCCGTTCATGCTCTGTCTCTCTCTGTCCCAAAAAAAAAAAAATGGAAATGTTTGGCCATTTCCAAAATACAGCATGGCAATGAGTCCAATGCCACTGTTACATAAAAATGATTTGTGATTTCTAAAAATGAGTATGACCACGAAGGTCTTAAAAAATAGTCCTTACCTGGATATCTTCAGGTTCTCCTCCTCCTTCTGACTCAGACTCTCCTTTCTAGCATCTAATACCTTATGTACTCAGCAGGTAACTTGAATGGGGTGAGAAAAGCAAGACTATCTGGAAAACTCACTGACTTTCTGCTTAAAAATCTATGGTTTGTCGACCTCCTCTCACACCCATCCTGACTGCCTTTCTTCTCTTCCTCAAGACCTTTGCTCTTTTACTCCAACCTCTCCTGGCTCTTCAAAACTTTGCTGCTCCTACATTTTCAGTCACTCCTTTACTAGCATGTTCTTTCTGCCAAGAGTTGTGATCAAGTCCTAAAGGGGGATGCACATCCCCCCTCGACTCAGCTGACTTTCAATTTAGCTGACTTTTGTGACTCTCACCACTATATTTCTCAAAAGAATTGTCCTGCTTTCTGTGTTCATCACCACCCATTTTTTTCCTCCCTCAAATAAACAAACTCCTCCTTTAAAAAAAAAATTTTTTTTTAATGTTTATTTATTTTTGAGAGAGAGCACCAGCGGAGGAGGGGCAGAGACAGAGAGGGAGAAAGAGAATCTGAAACAGGCTCCAGGCTCTGAGCTGTCAGCACAGAGCCCGATGTGGGGCTCGAACCCATGAACCGTGAGATCATGACCTGAGCTGAAGTCGGAAGCCTAACCGACAACCACCCAGGCGCCCCAACTCCTCTCTTCTGTTGAAACTTTTCACTTGTAGATTACAAGTGACCAAGTCACTTTTCGCCAATATACTTTCCCCAATATACAGCCTCTTTAGTACTTACCATTGTTATGTACTTCCTCATCCTTAAAACTTGCTTTCTTTTTCTGAATCCTCTACTCTTCTGGCCTAATCTCTTGGGCTGTTTCTCACACTCTCCTTCCCTGGTTTCCCTTCGTCCTCTTTATACCCTACCTTTTTTTCTCTATTGGTCATGTTACATAGATGATTCCCACATCCACACTTTCTCCCCTGAGCTTTGGTCACAGCTGTTCTAAATCTGCACTCATTGTGTCCCCATCTTCCTAAACCCCACATGCCTTAAACTTCATTGAACTTTTTTGCTCACTAAACTGTGCTCTCTGAACTTCCCTATTTTATTCTCTCAAGGATATCATTATTCCCCCTTCTCTCCAGCTTGAAACCTTATAGTGTTCCTGGCTTCCTTTCTCTTTTTCCATGTCCAGGCAGGTACCAATTTCTTTCCATGCCCACTGCCAACATCATACTGCATAGAATTTTAGGATGAATACAGGACCCTTACCTGTAGTATTACACCCTCACCTCAGATGTTACGGTAGTCTCTGAATTATCCCTGCCCTCCATTTTTTTTCAACCACTCCTATGATTTTTCCCAAATTAATTGTAAAAACATGTGAAAACATGGTACAAGGCAGTCTTCATTCTGAAAGTTGCACTAGCTCCCTATCGCCATAGGATAAAATCTGGATTCCCTAATACGTCGATAAACCTGGCCTTTTAGTTACCCCCCTAAACATGGTCAAACGCACTTCTTGGCCTTTGCCAGTTTTGTCTGCAGAATTCTTCCACCTTTACTATTTAAACCTCCCCGTCCTTTGAGGTCAGGCCTGCTTTACACAACTGCCTCGAAATTCCCTGTTGCTTCAGAGCCCCAAATTTGAGCTCCAGTGGCTCTTTTCCTCTACTTTTCTCTTTTCAGTTTGTGTCACATGGTAGTATTAAGTGTTTTTATTATGTATGTGTGTGTGGGTGCATGTATATATGTATGCACCACACACACGCACAAATACACTGTGTCTCTATTAAGATGAGAACCCTTGGGAACCAACCTAGTGCCTAATCAGTAGACATGTAATAAGGACTTGTTATTGGCGAGGCAGGAAATGATGATGTCCAATTAAGGAGGATAAACAGGACTACAGGCAACCAAGAGTTTTGTGGCTAGTGCAGACCATAGGTGATAATGGTGTGAGATCACAGGCGAGGATTAGTTAAGGATTCTCCTTTCCCGGAATCAGCTCAGTGTTTTATTCCATGCTAACAGACTACTTCATCTTTTCTGAGGACCCCAGGCAGCAAATAGTTACAGGGAAGGACAGAAGTCACAGGGTCAGAGGAATAGGACTGATGAAAGTGATCAGGTCCATCGGGGTGTCTAAAGAATTTCAGCCCACTCTCGTAGCCCAGGACAGGGAAAGTACCAAAGGCAGGAAGGATGGAAAAGCAGGGTGACTCATCAAGAAATCAGGGCTTGCTTGGACATTTTGATCGATTAGCACCAGCAGAGACTGAGTGAATATACATAGAAGGTGAACCAGAGAGCTATGCCAGACTTACCTTTCACCATTAAACTTCTTTCTCACTCCCCATCCTTTTTCCTTCCTTCAAGGGAAAGAGAATCGTTTCTCCTAGGATCTGTGCTCTGAGGCCCAGCCTCATCTGCCTGTTCTCTCTCCTCTGTCTTCGTCCGTTCCTTTCTGGTGGACTTTTCTTTCAACTCCTACTCATGCGTAAATCTGCTACCCTATGCCCCTCTCTAGCTCCTGATTTCCCGTGGCCTCTTAAAAAGAAGAGTCTACACTTGCTTCTCTAATTCTTGCATTTTACTCCTAAACACTAGGATCTGGCTTTTGCTGTCACCATTTCTCTGAAAATTGCTTTTGCCAGAGTCCCTGGTAACTTCCAACTTGTTAAATCCAGTGAATACTTTTCAGTTATGATCGAACAGAATTTGCTATCGTTTTTGTTTGTTTTTAAAGTAAGCTCCCTCTCGGAGAGAGAGAAGGAGACACCCA